GCAATTCCAAGCATGTATCGCAAGAAGAATCGATACATTTTATATGCTGAAAAAATGTCCTTCAGAATACATTTAAACAAAAATAACCAACCCGTAGAGATTTGAGCCCTGTGTGCTGGGCTAACCTTCATCTTTTGAGTCTCTCTCTCATGCATGCCTGGCATTTGCTGCTGCCCCTATTTAGGTCACAAACACTGGGTTCCAGCCAATGCAGCCGATTGATATTTTCAAGTCAAACATGGTGCATAACATCTATACCATGCGACGATGTCGCGTAAAGGCTCAGCCCCTCTGCTCACCGGAATGAGTTAACCAGCAGCCCTGGCGTTCTTTTAACCACTAGGAAGTGTCACGGCCACGCTCGAGTAAACAAGGTTCTGGCGTTGTCAGTATGTGCCGCGACCGGCGTCTGGGGACGCCGGCGAAATCCCTTTACCGCGTCATGGCAATGAGTGCGACATTTCGCAAGGGCATCACGCCGCACCTGTCTCCGGGTGCTTAAAAGGTGGCTAGCCATCTTAACAGATATTGCCGAGCCTGATCGTCTGATCCTGTATAGACACGTTAACATACAATATAGAAGCCACTTGAAGTTGTGAGCACTGAATGTAGTCCTATCTGCCATGAGCTGTTCACTTCCATTCCAGGAATAAGTTAATCAGAGAACAATATTCCCCATTTTCAGATTCATACAGAATATACTAAAATCCAGCCTATAAAAAAAGTTTGGATCAATAGGAGAAATTACATGACAGGAAGTGATGTCACTTCCATGACATCATGCCCAAATATTTCACGATAAATGTGTAGTGATGTGGAATCGGGTGACTTCACTTTTGTTAGCAAGAAGAAGCCTAACAGTTTAAAACTTCATGGAAATTATCTGCAAATTGGAAAAAAAATTCAAGAATTGTCCTTGAAAAAAATGTCTTGCTAAACTTATTCATACTTTCCATTTAATCTGGCAGGTAGCACTGTAACCGCCGACTGCCCGACTCACAATAAAACGTATCAGAGTTCAAACCCTGACAGAGCACTGAAACAGTCCATCATTCCCCCAGGGGGATTCAAATGTGCGTATCCCACAAAATTGTTGGGAGTCCACCATTGACCCAAGAATACCACTGGAAATGAGCGTGTTGTATATGTAGATATTTGTGTTGTATATGTTTTTTTAATATTATGAACAAGGGCCAATGCTTGCAACATCGCCAAATATATATTTTAATTTTTAAGGTAGTTTATTGACGAATGTGTTTTGTTTAAAATTCACTTGTAATCAAAAACTACTCTGATGGTTAAGCTTTCCCCTGCACGATGACCCCCAATTTCAGAGAATCGTGGGGAGAGTTACAGTGAGGAAAACAAGTATTTGACCCCCTGCTGATTTTGTACGTTTGCTTGCCCACTGGCAAAGAAATGATCAGTCTATAATTTTAATGGTAGGTTTATTTGGACAAATAAATTTATAACATTTTTGACATGCGTTTTTCAGGATTTTTTTGTTATTCTGTCTCTCACTGTTCAAATAAACCTACCATTAAAATTATAGACTGATCATTTCTTTGTCAGTGGGCAAACGTACAAAATCAGCAGGGGATCAAATACTTTTTTCCCTCACTGTATGTGGCCAGGGCAGGCACTTCATGCATTGTCTGCACGACGGTACCCATGTCCATATTTAATTATTAATTGAATTGTTAATATAATGAATTCTAATAATAATGTGGGTGCAGACACCAACATATGACCTTTGACGCTGGACATGGTCATGGATCAAACACTACATCTAATTTCAATATATTCGACAAGTATCTGATCTGATTCTTAAGCACAGCTTTAATCTATTGTAATGGTGTGAAAAAAATGTATGAAAACATATCCTACTCGTCAAATATGACTATATGGAAAGTATCTTTGATAAGGATTTTCACCCTCTGATTTTGATTTCCACTCTTCTTTGGATTTCTGCAGAATGCATTATTCCTTTGGGTCACCCAGCTGTTCTGTCTCCTTTAATAACGAGCAACAAATGTGCCTCTTGCTTCTGACTTACGCTGCCGCATGTGTGTGTGTGTGCGTGTTAACCACTACTGGAGTTCAGCCAGTCATCACATTTTGAGAAACTTGGCCATGACCGACCAGAGAAAATTTTCCAGTCCAAAGTGAGATCCCCATTACTCATGTGATGTGTGACGTCTACCTCTGATAATCTGCACACTGTTTGTGTTACGCCGGTAAATTCTCTGCCCCCTTTTGTTTCACAATCCACTAACGGAAAACAAGTGCTCAAACGGAGCAATGCAACTTGTTTTCAAGTCTTGTTGTGCCTAGAATGCATGAGTATTTGGGTATTACACCAACCATAAGGGCTGTAAGATGATACCTATCATTTTAAATGAGTGGCCAGAGACAATGGTGGATAAAGAAACCCACCTAAGGCTTTTAACGACTTCACCAAGAATCACTCAGCTTTTCTGGGCTCGTGGTTTTACCCTATGAGTGTCTGCATTACACCGTGTTAAGCAAGAGATGAATCTTGATATTTTACACCAATCCTACATTTAATGCCAACTGCATGTAAGGTTGGCATGCTAACAGGCGACTTGATTCATTAATGTTAAACTGCTAGTGAAAGGGAAAAGAAAGTGATTCCCACATTGTATATAGTCACACTGTGTACTAAGTTGCAGTCAAAGTATGAATAAGTGGGTGAGTGTATATGAGCCCATGTGTGTGTTGTGGGAAACAGTGAGAAGTGGTCGTGTAGTGGTTTGCACGCTGCGCAACAAACCCGGTGACCAGAATTCGATTGCTGCTCACGGCCAACATCGGTGACGATTTATTTCAACTGGATCCTGCCTCAGCCTCAAATGAGTATCTGGTGCGATGTGCAAACATCGCCACTGGGGAGATAAAGGGGGCTGGGCGTGGTACTGGCCACCCACCCCTTCGTGTGGCGTGTCGGACTTCATAGGTGCTCATTAACAGCACTTGCCCCAACGGCCTTTTAAGGCTGTACGGGGAATTTGTCTTTATTTTTGTGGAAAACACTGGCACAAAAGTAATCAGACCGCACCATAAACTCAGTGACCTAGATTGAATTCCTGGCAATGGCGAAAAACAGTGGCATCTAAACCAGTCCTTGGCTGATTAAACAAGTACTTGTGTGATGTGTACACATGAGCAAATGGAGAGACAAAGGTAATTGGTTGTGGTGACAGCCACACCACTGCCTCAATTTGCCAATTTTGCCTTTACAACTGTTCACTGAAATGCACTTTCATCAAGTCTGTTTGTCTGTCTGCATGTGGAGGATCTTTGTCTTCTGTGTGCGTGTGTGTGGGTTGGCGAGTGGGTGTGTACGTGCTTGTGCGTGTGCACAGCCTGCTTGAGAATTTTAGGAATTTAATGGCAGAGGCGGATGAGCAAGGATGCTTTCTCATCTCCACCCCATAGAGCTCCAGCAAGTGCATTAATAAAACCCGACGTGTTATTACACGTGTGCTGTGCTACAACCAACATGCAAGTTCTGCATTATTACTTCTCTACAAATGTTGCAAGTGCAATGGATTCAATATTTGTACAAAAACATGCACTGTCACATTTGGGGGGGCTATGAGCATGCACAGATTTTAAATGTGAATTAGCAACATATCTGCTGGGACCTCAGTCGAATGGGTAATTTATACTGGATAATAAAGTAATAAAAAGAGACAAAGATTCCCCGTATAGCCTTAACAGACTGTTGGCTGGGTGGCCAGCACCATGCCTGGCGACCTTTGTCTCCACAGTGGCGATGTTTGCACATGCCTACACATCACACCAAGTACTCATTTGAGGACCATTTTAGAAAAATTGTTACCACTGTTGGCCGTGAGCAACAATCGAATTCGGGTCGCCGGGTACATAGTGCAGTGCCACCGCACGCATATGCACAAACACACTGTGAAGTTAACATCGTTTCTAAATGCAACACAGGCGATCAGCATTTGTTATAGCTTAAACACGACGTTGCATTACTTCCGTAAAAAAAATACATTGTGGTATGATTGTTGTCTTCTTATTTCACTGGCCTGTGCTGCAATTGAATTATTCCACATCCATGAGTGTTTACCTCGATTTCAACTGCCTGGTTGATTCACCGACAGCATGGTGTATGTTCAATAGACCTCTGACAAATATATGCACGAAAATAATCCTAAAGAGCAGCGAGAACTCACGAAAGAGCACACAACATAGAGCGAGCTGTGCGTTGCCTTCTTGATAAAAAGATACCAAGCGACCCCAGCGGAAACAAGTTAAGTAAAACCGTTGAAAAAAGCTTCACTTCTCTCAAATGTAGCATTCAAGTGGAAAGCAATCTATTTCAAAAGTAACACTGGTACAGCAGTAGCCCAACACCACAGAAGGACACATCCAAAGCTAGTTCCTGGTAGATGTCGATTTTGTTTTTTCATTTTACGTGTACTTTTGCGTGTTGTGATGTTAATTTGCTGGGTACAGACAAAATGTCCAGGACTTTTACGGGAGCTATTACACGAGCAACAGCAATGGGCAAGGCAACTGTGGCGATGCTTGTCGATCGATTAGCCGTGCGTCACCCAGATAAGCAGAGAGAGATACACATTTAATACTCACCTGCAGCTGGCTAAAATCGGTCCAAAAATACACCCGGATAATGCAGACATGAACTTTGACGATGGACCTTACTGCAGCTCTTAATGACATAGTATTACAAAATAACCTGGTGCATGTACATGGCCCCGTGATGCAATTATCAAGCTGGCACTTGCACACAAGAGTTGATTTCACCATTTCATTCACACAGCAGACAATCATCTTGGGGCATGTTCTCTCTTTTGCCTGCCACTGCATCATGGGATATTTTCTTGCGCGGATTCCCAGCCAAGCCCATTTATTTTTTTCCTAACAGTCAATATGAGGTCTCTGACCCGGACATGTTCATCGATCCACGTGGTGCTCTTTTTGTCTCTCAGCCTAATTCCAAGCGTGCATCTCGCCACACTTCATTGCACAATTTTGCTTGCTTTTGATCCATTTTCTTTTTAATTTTGATGTTAATTATCCATGTCATAGCAAACTCTGGACTAATTTCGACAAGCAGTGTCCCAAGAGCGAGAGCTCGGATTGCTTGAATCAATGCTGGTGAACTGCAAGATCGGCAGTTGGCCAGCATTGAGTGAAGACAAAAAAAAGACAGAGTCAAGAGTTTGCATGCCTTGAACCAATACAACCAGCTTCTTCAGGCAAATTGCCTGTTGATGCTGGTTGTAATCACCAGTGAAACGTCGCAGTCAAATTGTAAGTGTTGTGGGTTTACTCTCCAACACACCGGTGTGCTGAAGTAGTAACTAATTGGCACGTTGTGTTTAAGTGACAAACCTTACTAATTTACTGTGTCGGTTGTTGGTGGGTTAATGACGATTTTTTACTGATGCCATCTAACAAGAAAAAAAAACCCGCTTTATTATGAGCCCTATGACAACCTGTGTGTACACGGTGATCACATGTATGTACACGGTGGCCACCTGTGTGTACACGGTGGCCACCTGTGTGTACACGGTGGCCACCTGTGTGTACACGGTGGCCACATGTGTGTACACGGTGGCCACCTGTGTGTACACGGTGATCACATGTATGTACACAATGGCCACCTGTGTGTATACGGTGATCACCTGTGTGTATACGGTGATTACCTGTGTGTACACGGTGGCCACCTGTGTGTACACGGTGGCCACATGTGTGTATACGGTGGCCACCTGTGTGTACACGGTGGCCACCTGTGTGTATACGGTGATCACATGTATGCACACAATGGCCACCTGTGTGTACACGGTGGCCACCTGGGTGTACACGGTGGCCACCTGTGTGTACACGATGATCACATGTATGTACACACAGGTGGCCACCTGTGTGTACACGATGATCACATGTATGTACACACAGGTGGCCACCTGTGTGTATACGGTGATCACGTGTATGTGCACGGTGGCCGCCTGTGTGTACAGAGTTCGAATAATCTGATCACAAACAAATTAACTTGAAACCAGGCTTAAGCTTCCTTCCTGCAACACAAGCCTCAAACCCACGTGGTACCGTGAACTCGAAATGAAAAAGGTTCCCCCTGTATTCCCGGCTATAGCTTTCTCCGTGTTGTGTGCTACTGGCTGAGCCAGCGTACCAGGGCCATGAGCTTGAGTCCCTCGAGCAGCTTGCAGTTGCGGTTCTTGAGCCGGTGAGCCTCATCGATGATGACGCAGCGCCACTCGATGCTGCGCAGCTCTGGGCAGTCGGTAAGGATCATCTCGAAGGTCGTGATGACGGCGTCAAACCGGTATGCGCCAGGCGTGATGTAGCCCTGTGTCGCCGCGGCGAGCACGCACACGCAAACGCACGTGAGAGACAGCGACAAAGACGACCGTGAGTCCAGGTCACAGTGTTTTCCCTGCTCAAATGACCAATGGGATGGAAATCGTCTTGGCAGTGAAAATTCCACATTTCAATAGCAGGGGCCAGTTTATTTGTATGTGTAGTGGCCTTATATTGACGTCGGAGACTGTTCACTTGAGGCAACACGTATTTATTACAGACGCTTCAATCACAGTGGCGAATCTGATACTTGAAGAGGTACAGGCCTCTTCACCCGTACTCTACAGAGGGAACGTTCCCCGAGCTTTAGCCCACGCTAGCTCCCTGGTTCCCTCTATCCTGGTCCTCTCTCAGGAGGCTGTCTGACCTGGCCCAGCTTCGGCGCAGGTCCCGATCACCAGCCACACGAGTCCGGCTCTCAGAAGGACATCGGCCCTCGTGGCTCTGGTGTCGCACCCTGGCTTGCTTTGCCCGGCCCTCAAAAGGACAGCGGGCCAAAGGAGTTCCAGGGTCTAGCGAGTCGATCTTCTTCACTGGCTCTTCATCTTGCTTGAGTCGAACTGCCTCTCAGCTCCCCGGGTCCCACCTTTTATACTGTCCCTCACTGAGGGGTGGGGCTGGGAGGGACCACAGCATCCCCCACAGCCCCCCAGGGTGGTGGCCGTAGCGGACGTGGTTGTGGCCACCGCCCTACAACCGCGTGTCACCCTCCCGTAACACCTCTACATATGTATATTGACACTCTTTCGCACTGTACATTGCCAACCATGCTAATCGGAGATGCGGGGAAGGACAACAAACTAAACACAAAAAGCATGGATGACCGAAGAGCAAACTGTTACTAAATGGGATTTTAACCAAGAGCGTGAATGTACATTGCTTGCAACGGCATATTAATGCAAGCAGCAATGCAGTGAGACATTTGTAAATACTAGTACAATGCCCAAGTTACAAAGCCCAAGACAGTGCTAACATGTATCTCATGTCACATGTTCAATATATACCTTTATGTAATTCAGGAAGAATTGACAAAGAAAACAATTCGTGAATCAGTCTACCACTACCCCATAAGATTATCTTGACTAGTATCTTACGAATGCAAATCATGCAAACCATATGCCAATCGCACCAAATTAATTTTATTGTTTCCAGCGATATAAAATGTCACTCCATAAATGTATAGCAGACAAAGAGCAAATCTAAAAGATTCTTCCCAGGCTCCGATATCATACCTTGATAAGCCATTCTATTAGACTTTTAAAATATCGAATTAAATTGGAAAATTGGGGCGTGATGTGGGCATTACGTTTAACGTTTTAGGTAGAGTCCCCAAAGGGCCGCAAATGTCAACTAAAAGTCAAACCAGTTGGTCCCCGCCGTATATTTGCCGACGCCAAGCCCATCTGGCAAGCGGCCCACACAACGGCACTGCGGATAATCCTCCCTCTCCTCCCCTGCATGCACATTTTGTGTTTCTTCTGCAAGGCCAATGAGTCGTCTGCTCGACTGCTTAGGCGTGTACCGCACAAAGCAATTCCTCAAATTGGAATGACTATCACAGCGCGGTGCCACATGTCTTGTAAAATCTTTCCCCTTCCCGTAGCGGTCGCCCTCCCGCCTATGCTAGCTCCACACCTTCTGGAGGCTGAGTTACGCAGCTGCTTAACCGCTGAGCATCGCCTGCCTCGGGAGTGTCAGTGAGGAGCCAGATGCTCACCCCTGCGATGGTGCCATTAGGCATTCTTCTTATGCTGTGTACAGCTGCTGCCAGTCAGGTCAGTGATGCAGCCATCCCGAGACGGTCCGCGCTCAGTTCGCGTGGCTTAAATCAAGCAAACCCACGGGACTTGGTAACCAGGCCAGTGAAAACCACAGTGCAGTGCATCAGACAGAGCAGCCAAAAGTTAGTTAAGTTGATTATTTTCTCCCAGATGTTTTACGACATTTTAATGTAGGGCTAATGTTCTTCTTGTATTGCTGTGCGGATGCTGTGCTTCAAGAAGGAAACACTATGCAGAGCTCCTCATTACAATGCCAAAAACAAGACAAACATATCAGCAAGGGCAGAGGCCACCTACCACCTCAGATTATGAATCCACACAGTCGGGAAGTAAAACTGCAGTGAGCCCATGCTCAGTGGCAATGTGCGCAATGCAGATGTTTACAGATTATTGGAGGGATTTTTGCTCCTCTGGCATTGGTGACATGCAGGCCTGGCATGCTGAGAGCCGCTCGTGTTTACACACAGTTGAGGGAGGAGCTGGCCTTCAGAACCTCGTTCTGGTGATTGTTGTGGTTAAGATGGTTTCATTTTTTTTTATCAAACACCACAGCAGTGTTTTGCTAATGCACAATATAAAACCCCTTCCTGAAGGCAGCCTCCCTTACAATATCCCCAAGATTCCTGAGAGGTAGTATCCCCAAACTCAACCCACAGGCCTTCTGAACTTTCTTTTATAAAATATAATTTCTTAAAATAATAAATAACATGACGTGGGTCAGAAGATGCAAGTGATGCAAGTGTGGAAGGAAATAGATCAAGAGGAAGGCAGAAGAGGAGGTGGGGCTATGTGGTGCGATCGGACATAGTGGCCCGAGGGGTGGAAAGAGAGATGGCGCAGGACAAGGGTGCGTCGAGAAGGTTGGCAAGGACAGTGGATCCCACATGAGTGGGACAAGCACGTGGAAGAAGAAGATACACTAAACAGTAACAACACACAATTTTAGCACATTTAATGAGACAAGGCACTGGCAGAAAGGTGTAACTGCAAGATGTAAATTACCCGGAGTGCTTGTTTAAGACCGTCATTTGTTACATTATCAATTCATATATTTGCAAAGGGCTGCTTTAAGTTATCAGGGAACACATTCCTGCGGAGGGAGCTGGTAGGAACGTTGGGTTGCTCGGTCAATGGCCAGGGTCAACGGCGGCACCACGTGGTGTATTCCGCAAATATGCCCGACTGTGAGGACGGGCACAAGCCGGCGTGAGAAGGTTAAACGTTGAGGTCTATAAGGGCACCACGGGGTGACCAGCCCCTCCCCACCCAGCCCCACCCCTCCCACCCCCCACCCTCCCCACCCAGCCCCTCCCCACCCTCCCCACCCTCCCCACCCAGCCCCTCCCCACCCAGCCCCTCCCTCCCCACCCAACCCCTCCCCACCCAGCCCTACCCCACCCATTTCTGGATGCACGACGGACGGACACAATAATCCCCTGTGGGCTGCTGGTGTAACCAGGAGGATCCTACACAGTATAAACAATGTCTTGACAATGCCAGAAAACGAGGAGCATGCAAATGCATCGAATTGCATCCTTGAAGTCCTCTGGAATTGGAGGAGCGGCATTAATCTTGAACATGAAATAATTGTAAAACTTCCACTGCTGCTTAAAACCAAGTGGGATGGGGCCACACTGCTGCATAAACCATTACCGTAATCTCCAACCATAGGAATTCACAAGGCACCGGAGCTGCTCAACTTATTTCTCACTGGACAGAGTGCCCCCCCTTGCGATCCGCTGAAATGCCATGTCACGTCGTAATTGCCTACAAGTCTGGTGCTCCAAGAGAGACCCCGTGAGTACTCAAAAGCGGAAGTGTGTCCCTGCTTGATTGATCCAGCAGAATAACTTCCACAATCATATGGTGGGGGCCATCTATACAATAGGATAACCTTTGCCGACAAGGTGGTACTGGTCTAATCAGACTATATATACACATTTCAAGATGGTGTATATTAATTGTTTTTTGATTGAAATTGTTACGAGCAGTAAGCAAAAACAATCTAGTGACATTACAGAGGAATAAGGCAGTTGTGTAAGATGCCTGAATACAGTTTCCAGCATCATCAATTGTGACTCCAAAGCGCAGTGCTTCAACTATAAAGACCAGGTGACGCCGCGTGTAACCCAGTTGTTGGTGTGGCAAGATTTGGTAGACCACAGAGATGTGCTTGAGACACCCAACCTTCTGGGCTATGAAGAATTCGCAGATGGCAGTACAGCAAGAAGGTTTCCAACAGAGCGCTCCTTTCAAATGTGAATGCACTGTGGTGACTTTCTCGTAATAAAAACAAAAACCCACAATATTCTTTGACTACAAAAGCCTCACTGCTGCATCTTAAGAATTCTTTAGAGGAGGGTCCCCTGCAATGGAATAATTCCTTGCCAAGGCCCCGCACTCGTGCGGAATCAGGAGCAGACGGAGAAGATTGGCATGGGTGCTGACATGTGATGTTGGAAAATGTACTCACGAGGGAGAGGATATCGCTTCAAGGTCCATATGAATCATTCAGGATCCTACTTGCTGCACTATTACTGATAGGCCACCGAGCACGTTGGAAAATTTCACATACACAACGATTTCTGTGCGATACATCAACTCCAGCCTTTCCAAAGTGCGCCACGGTGGCGAGATGTTAACTACCCCGTCTGGTATATAGGCCATGGGTTCGATCCCGACCCTGATTGCCCGCTGCATATTTGGAGTTTGCGTATTCTCTTCCTGTGGTCACGCGGATTTTTCTCCGGTTTTTCCCCTCCACATTTAAAAACTTGCGTTTTAAAGTATTTGGCTGCAATACATATCCACACGATAAGCCACGTCACTGAGCTGTCATTTGTGGCCAGGTCGCATCTGAAAAAGAGGCTATACAGCTCAGTGGGCTTTACCTCGCAAAAGAAAAATAGCTTAGTTTGTCGTTTAAATCTCCGCCACCGCCGTTCATTCGCAAGGTGCTGACCTGGGCATCGCGGGTGTACATCTCGTACTGCTGGATCATCTGGCGGCTCGCCACGCTGCCGTG